CAAATGTCCAAACATCCTTTGGTGAGCTGTTCAGAATGGATGGAGTTACTTCAATTGTGTCTACCACACCCAAAAATTTGAGAATGGTGAAGAGTGATTAGGGGAAGTTCCCCAGAATGTTTTTAAGCATTTCACCCGGATTGGTCCTGAACAAAGGGCAGACTCCAATGCTGCTTCCATCTGAAGAGTTCTAGGTAACTATATGTAGCCCATGCTTTTGGATTGCTCAGTGCTCTGGGTGGCAGGTCATCTCTCCCAAGGGTTCTCATTTAAACACCCAGAATTTCAGCCATATCTACCATGGGATCCCTGCATCCACATGGCTCCCCTCTCTTCTTCTAGAATCTCTTGTGTCTCATCCAAATATTTATTTGTAGAGGCTGAGAGAAGGGCTGTGGTAGAAGCACATATAAGCGTCGCAGAGGAGACGGCGGGCATATGAGGGCAAAGATTTGGGATCCAAGCCCTGCAGAGTTTCAGGGGACATTTCTAAGTAATCTGCTACCTCTGAACAGGGTGTGACACGAGGGATGTTAAAGCCATTCAATCCACCTTGGAAAAAAAAAAGACAGGAATAAAGATTGGTGGTGTGCATGGAAGGAAACAGAAGAGGAAGTAATCAATTTACTGTTGGGATTCCAATCTCTTATCAGTGAGATTTTGTCATTGGGAAACACTTTCCATAAACAGCAGCATCTCTGACTATGTATTCCATTACCAATTTTTCTGACATTTGGAGTGACCCTAGGAATTTTTTTTTCCAGGGCAGGCAAAAACTCTCACAAAGTCACCATGTTTGCCATTGCTGGAAGACCATTACAAGATCTTTATCCCAGCAAGGAAGCATCTGGTCTAGACTTCAAGTAGCTGATAACATGGTTTCTGTCCAAAGGATACTTGAATCATACAGTATGTTTAAGTTCTCAAAAGTAAGAAAAAAGCAAAGATTTCTTCAAACTGAGCTTGCTGCCTGGCAACTACAAGGAGAGATTCAGGGAATTTTATTGGCACCAATATGGAAGTAGCTTGCCATTGCCACCTTCTGTTTTTGTTTAAATTAGTTATTATTTTTCAGTCTAACCCAGTGTTTCTCAACAGTGGCAGTTTGAAAATATGTGGACTTCAATTTTCAGAATTCCCCAGTCAGCATGCTGGCTGGGGAATTGTGGGAGCTGAAGTCCACACATCTTTGAGTGGTTGAGAAACAGTGGTATAATCAACAGCCATGGGATTTTCCCATCCAAGTATGAACCAGGTATGACCATACTTAGCTTTTCAAAATCAGCCAAGGTTAACTAGGGGCTGCCAGCTGTTGTGGCTCACTAAGATACTGTATATAAATTTTAACTGTGCCCATGTTAATAGAGCATCTATTTCTAATTTTTTTTTAATCCCGTGTGTGCAATAACTTTGGCTATAAGCAATAGTTGTAGAGCTGTGAGATTGATTCAGAGATGGGATGGCAATTCAACCAAATCTCCAAACTGAACAGTTGATTGATTCATGGAATTGGATACTTCCCAAGTCAATCTGGGCAATGTTTAATATTTCTACCCATGTGCAAAGCAGTTTTTTTTTCAGAATTCTTTCAGAAATCCAAATCAAACCAATCTGAGGATTTAGTTTCAACATCTAGATGGAGGCAGATGGTTTCTCCAAGTCAATTCAATTGTTGAGTCAAACTAATTCTCCAAACCAAAGTGAGGATTCAAATCTGATTTTGCATGATCAACACAGTGCTGATAAAGCAAAACTTGGTTTTCTTTGGAAGAAACTCACCCTCACGGTCGGCCATGCTGTCAAAGAAAAGCCACTGGTGGATATCTGGGCCATGGCGGGTAAAGCCTACATAATGGCTTGTTTCAATGCACAGGACTGCAAAGAGCTGCATGGTCTGGCGGGGGATGGACTCTGGCTGGGAGCCAAAGTGGGAAAACTCCTCAGGCATATCCAGCAGACGGGGCTGGTGGTACCGTCGGTCCCGGTGCTTGTGAACCTGTAGAGTGGTAGCCAAAGAACATCAAGAGATTTAAAACAAAGCTGCCTTGAGTCTTTCCGATTGGGCAACCATATGCATTTAATACACAGTAACAACAAGCAACAACAATAAAACCAGAGCTAATTGAGCAATATAAACCCAGATGGCTCTTTTTGCAAAGGGCTTTCTTGATTATTGTGTCATCCATTACCATCATTTCTAAAAAAGGCCCACTATAAACAAGACTAGAAGCTTGTATTTCCTAGTTCAGAATTCATGAAGTCTTAAGTGTTGGAAGAGGCCCTTTAAGCACCAATCCAACCCTTTGCTCGGTGTAGGAATCTAAATTCTGGACAAAGTCCACCATTCCCAGACAGATGGTAAGCTAGCCTCCATTTGAACGCATCCAGTGAAGGAGAGCAACTATCCCTCTGAGTAATTGGTCCCACTGTCCAATTGCTCTTAATGTTAGTAAGCATCTTCTAACAGGCAACTGCTACCTGCTTTCTCCTTTAATCCATATCCTGCTTTCTGGAAGAAGAGAGGACAGATCTTCTATGCAATGAGTTCTCAGGTATTAGAAGAAGACAATCATATCCCTCCTTGCTCATCTTTTTTTTTAAGGCTATATATACCCAGATGGGTAAGGCAAGGCAACCACAGGAATCCTGCTCAAAATCCTAAGAGCAGTTTGACAGTGATACTTTGTCCTCTCGAGAGCTTCAGCAGAATAGCATCTGTCAAAGACATTCCAACTTTTCTATATCAAGAAGGGGAGGGTTTTAACTAGAAAATCTCTGTGGCATCCTTTGGTTATATATTCTATGTCAGGCAAGCATAGCTTAAGTAAGTATCCTGGGATGGGAAGCTGGTGCAAAGATACCTGCTGACTGCAAATCTTGCAGAATTGTTTGATGTGTCGAATGCCAAAACCAGGATCCCGGTAGCAATCTGGACACTCCATTACAGCCAGTCCTTGGCATACACAACACTCTCGAGGAGCTGTAGTGGTGAAATCAGAAAGGTTGGGCTAGGTTAGAAGTTAAAACAGCCATATTGGCTGCGGATTATGGGAAATGACATTCAATAATTCTGGAAGCTACCAAGTTGGGGTAAAAATGATGTAAATCCCCACAAAGAGGAAGGAAGCCATGGAAATACCTACACTGCATTCAGCATAAATATTTCTTGTCTTTTCCAGGCCTAGAAAATTGAAAAAAAATCTGTATGCTTGAAAGACACCAACAGACAAAAGGAAATGATGATCACAGCAGGAATGGAGTTAATTTATGGACCTCCATTGTCCAAAGATGTGGTTAAGGTCACAGGGTTAGGGAGATATTAAAAAATGTAAACTAGGAAGTTGTGTAGGAGGAAAGCTCAATGAAGGGCTTCCAACTTCACCAAGATTACTTACTTGTTTGGGCTTTCAACCCACCTTTCTTCTAGGATCTCATGGCAGCATACATTTCATTCCTTCCTCCATTTCTTTCCACAACTACCTCAATAGGTTGAGCTAACAGAGTATGATTGACCCAGAGTAACCCAGATAATTTCCATCGCTAAGAAATGCATTTCAACTTGGGTCTCCCTGGCCCTTGTCCACCATTTTAACTATTACACTGCTACATCAAACCAACTGCTATGAGGAAATAGTAGAGGAGAAGATAGTTACTTCCACGAAGTATTTAGCTGGCTACAGTAGGCACAGAGATTAAGGAAGATGACCTTGATGGAGATATGCAGGAACCATTACCTAGGCAAAAGGGGCTGAAGCATTTTTTAAGTCCAGAATTATGAGATAACATTTGGAAATGGCTCAGCCAGACACCTCCCTATTTCACTGAACTGTAACAAGAGAAGGTAAGACACAATCAGACTTGCAAGATTCTATTACTATAGTCAATCTCAATAAAAAATAGTTTTAGCTTTCCTGCAATTTCTTGGTCTGGTCTACCTAGTGAGACTGACATAAAGAAACAGGAGGCTCAACTGAACCATTTTTTGCCCTCAGCCTTGTTCTAGATTCTCAGATGATGTACAGCACAATAGGATTGAACTCCTATGACAGAAATATGCTTTTCTCTCTCATCCCTTACTTTCTTCCAGGAGATCTGTGAGATCAAGTTCCAGGCTGGGTTGGATGGTTCGGAAGGCTTTGAAGTTCTTCCCATTCCTAGGCATCTGAAGAATAAGGCAGGAAGGGGCCTGCCAGGAAGAAAGGAAGCACGTGGATGAGGTGGGGAGGAAGAATAGATGGTGACTGTTGATAGGGCCCCACTTTGGACACTCAGCTCAAAGAGGCATCTCAGGTTCTTCAAATCTGTTTCATGATACCATGGAAATGTACTGCACAACCACCTTGGACAAGAGTACTCACAGCAGTCCCACTTTAAAAATGGGTTAGTTAATTTTTGTACTCTCCTCAACGATAAATGTGCTGATAATTTTGCATCTTGACATTGTGTTTCTTTGATTAAAGGGGAAAAAAAAGCAATAAAATTAAAACATAATTTAAAGAGCTGGGAATAGCTAGATCAGAAACTACAGTTGATTCATTTTGTTTACAATTACAGTTAACTGAAATAGGACTATATTACCTATATATAATATAGTACAATATAATTTTAAAATTATGTTTTAAAAATCCCTTTTGTGTGTTCAAAAAATTGCCTCTCCAAAGCAGCTATTTAATTATTTATTTATAATATTTACAATATCCCAAAGGACTTTGGGGATGAACCCAAAATGTACAATGACCACATGTAGACTTGGTGGAAACGTATCCTTGAGCTTGGCTCAAGACAGAGACATCTAAAAATTTACGATGGGGGCCCCATCAATGAAACTAGAATCACTTTGATTGCACAACCACCGTCTTGTGGATGTGCCTGATCCTAGAACAACTTTCTCCACCCTGGAGTCCTTCAAATGTGATACAAGGTGTCTTGCTGAGAAAAGCATTTGAGGTGATGTGAGGGTCACATCTGTCTATCCTCCTGGACCTGCATCTCACCTCTGTGAATTTGAGGTCCCCAGTCACCAGTGATCCCTCCAGAAGCTCTTGAACTGTTGGGACCACTTGAGTTGTGTGGTCCTCAGTAAATATTTGGTAGAAAATGCAGCCATGAGGGTCCTGGCCAGCTGAGCTGGTTTGGAAGGGGAGAAAAACAGAATTAGATTAAGACGCTATTCTGTCTTGAGTAAGGGCTGTGAGAAAATTTGTAAATGTAGGGAAATTTAATCAACAGAGTCTACAATGGGTTACTTTCTTTTTCAAAGTTTCTATCCCTTAGAGTTGCAAAGGTATACTAAGAACTAAACAGGCATATTGCCTAGCAAGACTGAACAGCCAGAACAAGGCCGAGTTTTATGGGTGATGTGCGGTCATAGTAACTTCATTGCTCTATGATAACTAAAAATTATTATATATTATCATATACCCATCTCAATTACTCAAAGAACATACACAAATATCTGTGACTCCCTATTTTGTCTTACTTTGGTGCACAATCTTGGTGTGATTTGGCATGTAGGGGTGTATACATCTTATTTCCAGAACATCCCATTTTGAGTTTGAAATAGTTGTTACAAGTGTGAAATGGGCTGCTTTGTGAATGATTTTGAAGTGTTTCAAGATTCAGCCTCAAAAACTTTCCAAGTAATTGAAACCACCCCGTTTCAAATGCAAAACAGACCTTTCTGCGTTCAAACTAAATGTTCTGAGCCCGAAATGGGGCATCTTGAATCTGAGACAGTTTAAATTTGAAATGTTCTGTACACCACAAATATACAGCATGGGGCTACTAGGTAGAAGGCAGTTGATCCATCTCACCGGATCTGAAAGAGAGGCTCCATCTTTAGCACTCGGAAGAGCAGGGTAAGGAACTCTTCTGGGTCTGTCAAAAGAAAGAGGGAGAAATGGAGAGGCAATCTTTCCTGCCCCTTGTACACTCTGTTCAGACAGACCTGCCTTCCCTTGAGCAAAGAAAGGAAGAGTAGTATAGACATAAATAATGCTGCCTATTATGTCTCCATTTTTCCTCTGAAGCTCAACAGCAAGAGTGGGAACTATCTCAGATAGCAGGAAGACCCCGTCATATTGTTTAATTCCCCCAACTTCAGGAGATAATCAGATGTTGATATGTAGGTGGAAAGAGATGGACACTCCTAATATTAAAGAGAGGACCCCAGAGTTGTGCTCATTATCAGTTTTTGAAAGATCTTCATATTCCCCCAAAAATGAAAAGATGCATCCATGTGGTTCTGTATGGTCCAGATTTAGTAATATGCTAGAGGACTGGATTAGTTTTACATTAACATTATATGGATCTCTTTCCCCTACCCCCACCCCCATTTTTTCTTTTCTCTTTTAAGTTTTATTTCTGTTACACATACAGACACATATATGTTGAAGGAAAGAGAAGAAGAGGACGACCAGCAGCAAGGTGGATGGACTCAGTTGCAGTGGCAATGGGTGAGCCATTGAAAGACCTGAAAGACCAGGTTAGGGACAGATAGTTACAGAGAAAACCTATGTGGTTGCTAGGAATCAACACCAACTGGACAGCACATAATCTCTCTCTTTTTAACTGTAACATCATGCTGAACTACTTCTTGGTGCATTTGTTATATTCTACTAATAATTCTTTAAAAATATCAAATGTTGCCATATTTCATGGATTTAAGACCCAATCTCAGGAGACTTTGCTTTTCTGCAAGACGGTGGTAATTTTACCTGCACCCATGGGTTCCTGCTTTATAGTCACGTCAGCCATACAATCCTACATATGACCTCTCACAAGAAAAGTTGAATGCTGCTTCCACTTGGTCAGGGCAGTGCTTAACATAAGGGTTGAATTTAAGCTGGAGTGTTTCAATTTCCTTACATACCTTCTAAGTCTAGTTATTTATCAAAGCCTGGGTTGCATCCAGACCTAATCTGGATGAGCATAGCAAATGCTTTTGTTTGCAGAAAATCCCAGGATCAATTCTATGCCTCTCTAAATAGAGCAGAAAAAATTTCAGCTGGAAATTCTGTACAGTCCCTGACAAACAGTGCCAAAAATATTGAGCATTTGACTTAGGAAAAGATTAAGAACAGCTTGGTGCAGTAGTTTGAGGCACCAGGCTAGAAACTGGAAAACTATGAGTTCTAATCCTGCCTTAGGCACAAAGCCAGCTCATCTGGGCCCATCACTCTTTCTCAGCCCTCAACCCAAGACAATGGCTCACCAATTCAAAACTTATTGCCAAGAAAACTGCATGCGGTTGTCCAGGCAGGTGCCAAGAGTCAAAATGATTCAAAGGAATGAAAAAAGAATGGGGAAAAAAGCATGCAAGGTTAGCTACTCCCATGCATGCTAAGAAGTGAACATTCATCATGTCGAGCGGAGATGGTAGCAACACATCTGAATTTCCCTTCTCCTTCTCCACCTCCTCTCCCCATCCTTTACAATTGCTCAAATGGCTCCTTCACCTTACAATGCAACCCCTCCCTATACACACACACTCACACATGCAGAGAACCCAAACCTTTTTCTTCACTGGTAAAGCCTGAGGAGTGCCCAGCTGTTTCCAAAACCTTCCGCAAGGCCATGATTTTGGTGGCACAGACATAGCCGTTCCTATCCAGTGAAAAAGGGGGAAAAAACAAAACAAAACACAAATGTACACAAAGGGGTTATGAAGTCACCAAGTATGCTTTTTTCAAGTGATGGCAAGAGCGATAGGTAAGAAGGAGCTGTCAGTCTGTTAGGCTTCCCACAAAATATTTGAAAGAACTACAAATTGGTGGTGGATCCCCTGTTTGGCTAAATCACAATTGTTTTGCTTTGTTTTGTTTACCCCTGTGGTTGAATTCTCCACAAGGGGTTTACAAACTGCACTGCAGCTTGATTTGGAGACTAGACTAAGCCAAAGCAAACAAACCATATTATGGGATAATGAAATGCAAGATCCCAGCCTGTGAGAAGAACCTGGGTTTCTCACAACCCTAGCCAGAGGATTCAGTTCCTTAGACAGGCATTTATTTCTGAAGGCTACTAGCCTTGTGAATTTTCCTGTCATTCACTAGTTAAAAGCCTGGTGGATCCATGAGCCAAGGACCTCCCCCTGGAAAATCTTCTCTTTCTCACTCCTTCCTCCTTCTCTTTCTCCTTCCTTCAGACTAACCTACAACCTTGAGAATTCCTAAAGACATCCACCCAACTATTAACTAGATTTAACCCTGGTCTTCAGGTCAACCATTGTCAGCCAGGTCAAGTGGCCAGCTGGAGGCCAATCTAGAAAACATGAAATAAAGTGAAAAAGGAATAGGGGGAAATGACATTTCTCTCATTATCCTAATGGGACTGAAATGCCTGCAGTAGCAATTTGTTGTTACTCTACCCATGTAACTGTTCTCTCTTGTTCAACTGAATTATTGCTTAGGAGGCAGCTGCAATTCTGAATTAATTGAATTTAAATTCTGAATTTAAATTCAGTTAAAATTTCATTAAATTTCAGTCTTAAATTTAAATTCTGAAAGCTCAACACATAACAATAACAATAGTTATTTCAGAATTTAAATGTGATCAAATAGTCTATTTCAGAGACAGCGAAAGAGACAGATTCAAGATGATTCACCTGGGAAATCCCTGTGTGGGCATCTTGCACTAACCCACCATTGCATTCTCATATCACACAAGAAACGTATGGCAATCTTAGAAGTTCCCAACTGTTCTCTCTGGCTTACTGAATACAAACACACACACACACACACTGCATTTGCACATATTCTCTTGAAGGGAAACACTCCCATATGCCTTTATTCAGGAGGCAAGCAATGCCTTGCAGATAATCATTTTAAAGGGAGAAATTAATTATGTATTTTGAAAACGTTTCTTTTAGAAAGGGGATAGAGAAGAGTTGGGAATTGTTTTAAACTCTTGTTCTCCCACATTCTTCTTTATATAAGTAAATAAGTTGTTTCCTTTCTTTCAAGAACCCACAGAAACCAGAGATGTCCACAATGTGTGGTTAAAAAAGCCAATATGGCAGCCATGATCCTGTTTTTTACATGCTTAAAAAGTAGGCAGAGTTTCAATCATACCACTGCAGCTGCCATCTTGACTTTTTTATATATATACTCTGCAGACATCCCAATAGAAGAAATCTTCATGCTCCTCTCATAATAAAAGACAAAGGATTTTTATTTAGAGAGGCAAAGAGAAAACCAGGAAATACCAGGGTTCACACATTACACTTGTGTGAATCTGGCCACTTTGGTGTGTGAACCATGGGTTTGGGGATAAGCACCCTGATCAAGCCTGGCTAACTGGGGCTTACTCAATATATCATTGGTAAATCATGGCTTAATATTTTAGGAGGAGTGAACATCCATAGAAAGAATAGATGTTAAAAACAATTTTGGTGGAATATTGATCATCTGCTATCTGTCTATCTATCCATCCATCCATCTTAAAAGACTGCCTAACTTCTGAAAGATTCTAGGTAGCATGCAAGATTAAAAACAGAAAAAAACTAATAAAACAAAGGAAAGGATTATGTATATCTAGGAGATTCAAACTACCCACCCCCCAAAACAGAGAGGGAGGGAGAGAGACTTATAAGAGATTCACCATCTGCCTTAACCCAAGACCTGGGAGAAAAGCCAGTTTTTCTGAGACTTTTTAAATCTAGTCAGAGCAGGAGCCATATGAATTTTGGGAAGTGCGTGGGAATGTTTTTTGAGAGGACAGGCCCTCTTAAAGCCTTTGTTCTTAAGTTGCAGTACAGATAGACCTTGGGTTATGACCATTCAGAGTTCCAACAGTGCTAAACAAGGTGGTCTTACAGCTGGTCCTTGAAGCTGTGGCTGTCACAGAGTCACATGATTGCCATTTGGGATCTTCCGTGCCAGCTTCCCACAAGCAAAGTCAATGGAGAAGCTGGCAGGAGGTTGCAAGTCACTCAGTAAGTTGCTCCTGCTCCCCCTGCTTTTTCTCCCAAGGAGCCCCCAGGCATCAGGATGAGTGCGGGCTCCAGGCGGGTGGGTAGCCACCCACCCAGCCACTGTTGTGCTGGGCCATAGCACCTCCCCACACACTCATGCCATATCACTCCCCCCACATGTACTCGCATCGCACTGTAGCACCACCTATGCCTCCAGGCACCCACATCTCTGCCCGCCTGCACTCCATAGCTCTCACCTGTCTGGCAGCCTGTTTGTGGGCTGCCTAAGGAAAGGCTTGTCATCACTGGGACTTGCAACTTCCTGCCAGCTTCCCACTGACTTTGCTTGTTGGAAGCCCGCAGGAAGTCACAAGCTGTGGTCATGTTAACTATCCACAATTCTTGCTTAATGACAGCAGTGGGGGACTGCTGGGATTGTGTTGCTAAGCAATGCAGTCACATGATATCACACTGTACGACTGCACTGCTTAGTGACGGAAATTCCGGTCTCAGTTGCTATCGTAACTCAAGGACTACCTGTAATTAAGTGAAAATCCAATCAGAGAGAGCAGCTGGGCATTTTTAGAAGATGAACCCAAACTCACTTGCGCAAAGGATTGACAATCTCTGTTCTTAAGAGATCCCGTGTCTCGATGTAAGATTCCCCATCATTCTTGTCTGCTGGTCGTAGCAGCATTGAATCCAACACAGAAGTAAAGGAGAACATACTATAAGCAGAAGAGAAAGTAATGATATTTTGAGTCTGTCACCAGAGGGAAGGAAGGTCTAGTGGTTGTAAATGGGGATATGGGAAAATGAGAGCATCCCCCCAAATTGGACAATATTGTTTTTCTAGAATTATGAGGTATTTTGCAGATAATCCAGCCAAAGCTCATTAAACAATGAAGGAAATAGATACAATCTTGAAACTGCATTTATATGATAGTATATATTAGTGGAGGAAGTCTCCCTTTAACAAGAACCCTATAGGTCAGGTTAGACTGACTGACTGGACTACTTACATACTTACCCAGTGAGCTTCCATGGTCATGTTGCATTGGCCATCAGGAGGCCCCATGAAGAAGTCATATAAAGCCCCCATACATGGGCACATGATATAATGCAACATGTGTATCTCTCTGCTCTGAGAGCTTAAGGGAAGGTGGACAGCATACACCATTCTGATAGCCTCCGTGGTCAAGTGAAGACTTGAACCTGAATTTTCCTAGTCCAAATCCAAGACCTTAGCCACCACACAATTCTGGCTCTGTATACCACATTATCCCAAACCTGCCCCTGCCTGAAAAGGAATGTGATTTGCCAATGTTTTCTCCAATTCCCCAAGTTTTGGTAGGCCTTCCCAGATTCACCTAACTGCAGGTCACAGACATTTCAGGCCCAAAGAGGAAATCAAAGGCAGGTATTTCCAGTTTAGAACAATACATCACTCTGATGGTAGAGCCAGCCTTACCAGAACAAAGTAGCATCAAGGTAGCAAGAGTTGCAATGACCTTGGATCCCCTTCTTCCATCCCGAGAGAAGTTCCATACCCTGATTGCCCAACGGGGGTGGTGGTGTGTCCTCCTCCACCTTGGCACTGGCATAGACCCGAAAGTCTAGGAGTAAAGAGCAAAGGATGGAACTAATAACTATGTAATCACCCTTTTTGCATGGTTGCTCCTCCATCTTTTCTGGAAACAAATAAGCTTCTGGGATTCCCCATCAGGGGTAACATAGGCTAAGACAGGAATCCAGTAAGTCCTCTTCCATCCCTCTGCTATGATAAGATCAGCATCCCTACACTGGGAATAGTGGGTGAAATAATCAGTGCTGTCAGAGAACTCCTCTCTTCAACACAGAGATGGCGCACAAAGGCAGGGTGCCCCTCCAAAATACAGTTCAGTATTGGAAACAATCATATGGGACTTTCCACTGGAAAAAACAAAACAGAAGCAAAACCAACCCCAAAAAAGGTCTATGTTAAAATATAACCCAAATAATTATTTCAGTGATTTGGTTTTCCCCTACACGCTCCCAATTACCAGATCGTTCACTTCAATGGAGGAAAAAAGAAACAGTTGCAACAACAGAGGACGCAGGGAGAAGGACATGGGGATTCAAAGAAGGTTCTGTACCCCAATCCCTAAGGCATACCCAATATAATACCTTAATTCTCCAGCCTATGCTCACTCCTTTTTATGACCTAGTTTGAGAATGATTGATTAAACCCAAAGTTTAATCAATAGTTCCAGAGGGAAACAGACAACCCTCTGGAAGTTGCTACAGTTCTATGTCCTCCAGCCCCAGCCAACCTGCCCAATGGCTAGGGATGATGGGTGCTTTAGTCTAATGACTTCTGCAAGACCACCTGTTCCTTACTCTAAGGAATGAATTTCCACCTCCAGCCCTCTTTGCTTTCAGTTTCTCTAAGCCAGTGTTTCTCAACTTTAAGATGTGTGAACTTTAACTCCCAGAATTCCATACCCCAGGATACTGGCTGGGGAATTCTGGGAGCTGAAGTCCACACAACTTAAAGTTGCCAAGGCTGAGAAGCACTGCTCTAAGCCATACCCAAGGAGTTGCATCGCAAAACAGGATTCTCTGGACTCTGCAAAGTGTCAAAACGTGAGTCAGGGTGGCACTGGTGCAGCTTGACAAAGAGGGCTTTGTTTGGTTGGCAGTAGAAATAGCGGATCCCTCCGTACTGTCCATCTGTGCAGCCTGATGGTAGTGGTTCCTCCTGGAAAATGTAAAAAGAGGTGACTGTATACATCCCAAAATGCCCTGAAACTTTTCCCTTTCCTATGATTTATAACATCTTGCCAACTCTGTTTACTAGCAAGGCCATGCAAGTAATTTCTCACACTGGTAAGAAGTCAAGCAGCAGCTACCAAAACAATGAACAGATATAGGCTGCCCCACCTTCACAAGACAGACCAACTTCCCTGATTTCAAAAAAGTGTGAGAAACCAGACCAGAGCATCGCGGCTTTCAACTGCCTACATACAGGTTTCTTACTGGAATCAAGAATCCTTCCCGGAATTCTTGGGCTGCAACCTTAACTTTCCTTCCAATAAACATGACTAATCAGAGTTCTAAGAGATTTGTTCTCTGGATTAACTCCTTCCAGTTCAAACTGCAAGGAAGAGAGCGTGACAAAGACATTTCCTGCACAGATTCCAGACTTATTGTACAAGAGGAAACAATGCTAGAAGTTATGATTAACCAGACGCCAGATGAAACTTAAAATATGCTCTGTTGTCTCTGGTTAAAGTTAGGACTTTTCCTTAATATGGCAAGCTGGTTTAGGAACTTTGTGGAGTAAGTATCCCAGACAGGTCAAATACAAGGAGACTCACTCCAGTCATCCACTGCCACAGTCAGGAAAAGTGTAATCACAGGTCCAGCTCAACATTTTATTAAATGGATTCGTCCATATAGTGGTAGTGCTTTTGTCCTTTGGGTGGGAGAGATACGGAATTGATACAGCATGCATAGTTGCATTGCTCCTTTTCGAGAGAAATATCACTTCTCTTATTGGGAATATGCTAAACTTGGGGTGGAAAACACCATTATCTACCCAAGGGATCAGTCAGCTGAAATCTCTGATATGGTAGCCAAATTGTGTGTAGCAACCAATTCAATAAGGAACATCTAGTTCATTCCTTAGAGGTAAGGAGGAATCTGTAGTACTATGCAACTTGCTTCACTTTTAGCAGCAGAAGATCTGTTGCAACTGGCAAAAAGAGGATTATTTTCTATTTAATAAGATAGAGAGACTTCAGGTTTTAAGTTCTCTGTGTGTGCGTATATACGTACATATCTAGCACACACACACTTGTTGGCCTAAAGTAGAAAGGAGGACTCAGATGATCATATGTCCATACCGTGTTACACTGTGCCATTGTTCCTCAAACTTGGCAGTTTGAAGATGTGTGGACTTCAACTCCCAGAATTCCCCAGCCAGCATATGGTTTAACACAGTGTTTCTCAACCTTGGCAGTTTGAAGATGTACGGACTTCAACTTCCAGAATTCCACAGCCAGCCTGCTGGAATATGGAATTCTGGGAGTTGAAGTCCACACATCTTAAAGTTGCCAAGGTTCAGAAACACTGGCTTAGAGAGACTGAAAGCAAAGAGGGCTGGAGGCTGGAAATTTACTAGCTTCCTTTTATCCTCAGAATAAGGAACACATGGTCTTGCAGAAGTCATCAAACTAAAGCACCAACCATCCTTAGCCATTGGGCAGGTTGGCTGGGACTGGAGGACATAGAGTTGTAGCAACTTCCAGCAACATGCTGGCTGTGGAATTCTGGGAGTTGAAGTCCACACACCTTCAAACTGCCAAGTTTGAGAAACACTGCACTATTCTTCTTGGTAGAATGGCCATAATAGAACTCATTTTGATTTAGTGTTGCATTTTGATTAGGATCAAGGAACTAGCAGGCATTTAACTTTCTGAAGCTGATGTGGAACCATTGCATATATATGGAAAGCTAGAGTAATAAGAATAAAATGTGCAAGTGTGCCTCTTCTCCCACCCTTTGCTCTCACCAGCTCCAAGCCAGCAACTGTCTCATCCACATCTGGTAGCTCTCCAATCCAACGTATCACACCATAGATGGGTGGATTATAAACCTCCACCATGGAATTGATCTCCAAGAGATGATGGTCATATTCTCTGCTGTCTTTGTCCTCGGATTCTTCTGCCTCGGTTTTCTTCCTCTCAAAAACTCGTACTTTTTTTTCCTTCAGGTCCTCCAAATCTGTTGAAGGGGCTGAAGGTGGGGAGTCTTTGGATGAACACTCCTTCATTGGTGGAGGATATCTGATGGAGGAAGGGGATGGACAATCTTCATATTCATCTGAAGTAGGAGTGGAAGAGTTGCTGTTCAAGACCTCTGGACTTTTATCAACTTGTTCTTTTGGGGGGGGGGGAGAGAGAGAGAGAGAAGATATTTTAACCTTATTCTCATTCAAATACACTTTTAAGAGAGAGTATGCATTTGGTGTTCAATACCCCCCAATATGCAGTTTGGAGTTTAAGCAGACAATTTATCCTTCTAACAATCTGAACTAAAACCAAGAAAAAACTCAGGAAACCCAGAGCAAGTTTCTAGCCCTTGAAACTTTGCAGTGCCTAATAAAATCTCACAAAGACAAAGATATGTGATATCCTTGCTTAACATATTTATGAACAGATATATAAGGAATGCTTGTGGCTTTGTCAAAGATGTGCTGGTTGTGGAGACAAATCATATGGAGACAGATGACGCCATGTTGTCAGCTGATAACCCAAATGATTTGCAGAGAATGTTTGATAGACTGTATTATGCAATGGTTTTGAAAAATAATGTATCACTGACCAAGGTTTCTATGTTTGACAGGGACAATAATGAATGATTACAATGATTAAATGCTGCCCCCGCCCCCCAAAAAAACACTAGAGCAAGTAAATGAATTTATGTATCAAATAGATGGAAAAATTTTAAGATATGCAAAAGCTGGTAGAAAGGTAGCAGATAGCATGTGATATATTGTGAGGAATATTTGTTGAAAGAAATGAAAATGGATGTGTATCAGAGCATGCTTCTGCCCACTTTGTTATAAGGAAATGAGAATTTGGTATGCCCAGAGAAATAAAAACAAGTTCAGTACAAAAATAATGGGGCATTTATTAGTATTTGTGCTATAAAAAAAAGAGAGTCAAGAATGAATAGGTGCTGAATGAATATGAATAGGTCAGAAAAGGGAACAACCAGGACCAAAGAAATATGCTAAGATGTTTTGGTCTTATGAGGAGAATGAATGAGGACTGAATTGTAAAACAAATATGTGAAGGAAGAATGAATGAGATGAAAGGAAGGGGAAGACTGAGAAGGTCAATGGATGGATGAAGTTGATGAGATCTTCCACAAAGTGGTATTTAGACATGGGGAAAACAAGGGTAGTTTGTATTTTTGATACACTCAGAATGGCCTGTTCCAAGTTTGGAGCAAAGTGACCTCAAAATATTTTGTACATCCCTAATTTTTGCAGAAAGATACACCTAATCCTATCCTTCTGCACTCTCAGCAGTAAGAAACTTGGACAACATATAATGTATATATACTGCCTTGCAATTATGCTGATTTCTTCCCCTTAGGAAAGAGACTTCTGTTTTCCTGCCTGGTTATAAAAGCGCTTGAGAATTCATTTTCAATTTATCTTGGTGTGTTTCTCCAGATTTTATTTCTGAAATGTCCCACTCCACGCCCCCCCCTCCCCCGGCTGCCCACACTTCTCAAACTGGAAAAGTTCCTTGTACTAATTTCTCATAGGATTTCATTGACACATGGGAAGCCAGGCAGCTAGCAGACCCCTAGAGAAATTACAGTACAACGAATGACCAGGCACTGACACACAACCCTTGCTCACTTTGTAACTAATTAAATGCAAGAACATTTCACTCCAACCAAGAACATTTCCCCAACGTTCTTTTCTCCTTTGAAAGAAGCTTTAGAAGCAAATTCCTTTTATCAGGTTAAGTAAGAACAGGTCAAAAAACAAAAACAAAAAAACAGGATCACTTTCTGGCAGAATGTGAAAGATACCCTTGGTGTTGGTGATGCTGAAAAACAACAATGTTCCCAGACCTTGATTATGCAAGTCTTACCTTTATGCACTTTGGAAATGGGGAGCAAGATCCCATACTTGGGTGATGGGAAATGACAGAGAAGCTTGCCTTTGAAGCAACCATCCCAGGAACCCACTGGCTCATCCTACAGCAAGATTTAAAAGTGGTCAAGAAGATGCATGGAGTAACAATACTTTATGAAACAAGGCTGCCTTGTTCATAACTAGAGGACAGCCCAGCCACTATATAACTGCATGCTAAACTGCACTGTATTAAAGAAGGGCATTTCTCTTCTTTCTAAGCCTGCAGCAGAAAGAACACTTTCAACTGGTGAAAAGCTTAAAGCCCTCTGCACACCCTCAGAAGTGACGTTGTTGTTTACTGTGCATCCAAGTCATCCTGTATCCCATTTGGGAAGGCTTAGCAGCTAGATGATACCTCAATCAGTCAGTTTATTCAAACAGTCTACAGACCATAACAAAATACAATATTATTCTAAAATCCAGAATGATAGGACTCTTTTAATCATACCCTCAGGGTCCCTATATGAATTAACATCAATTTGCTTCCTTTTCTTAATAGCCCTGGTTAGGAATTATGTCCCTGCTACAGTCACTTTAAAAATTTGACCAGAGAGAAAATATTTAATATAAAATTGATTTGAATATCCAGGAAAAAAATATTAAAATCAGATTAATCGTATTTTTGGTACCTTCTAGCCAGTCTTGACTTCTGGTAACTACACAGACAACACCCTGCAATTTTCTTGGCAAGGTTTTTCAGAAGTGGTTTGCCACTGCCTTCTTCCTAGGGCTGAGAGAGAATGACTGGCCCAAGGTCACCCATCTGGCTTCATGCCTAAAGTGGGACTAGAACTCACAGTCTCCCAGTTTCTAGTCTGGAGCCCTAAACTACACCACCAAACTGGGTCTCAATCAGGTTATTATGCAAGTTGAAATAAAAGCTACAGAAGAAGAGTATGTGTTCCACTGACCCTATATTCTAGTTAGTATAGTGACACACTCTTTTGGAGAGGCTAATTCCCTTATATAATCCCAATAACATCTGTCAGGGGAAGACATGATGTTTCTGTAGATCCTTCAGAAAGGGAACATGCTATTTCCTTTCTGAATCCTGCTGAATCAACCCTGGAAGACTGGATCAGTATGGAGTGGCAGAAAAACAGAGCCACAGATTTTGCACATATCTACTACGGTAGGTGATGTTTTTACTTGGTTGTATTTGAAGGTGGGGAGGAAGTATTTATTTATTTTTATTTATTTAATAAATAAAAAGTACCCACAAAATTCAAGTTAACAAATACTCTTTTCTCCCTCCAACTTTGCAAATTAACTTTCTTCTGTAAGAACATATGTGAAGGCCTAAAAAAAAAAAAAAACCTTGGAAAAAATTGGAATTCAGCTGCTTTTTTTCGCAAATGTTATTTCCTCTACAAAAATTGAAACTAACCCCCTCCCATTTCCTAACCACATTTGTTTTAAATGATACAGAAAATGTTTAAGATGCCAAAAAATGTGGCTTATGATTAGAAATTGGCTGAATCGGAAAGGAGAGAGAAGCTTGCCTCATATAGGAATACCTTTTGTTTTCAGAATCCAGTGAAAATCATAAAATGATAAAAAGAAAAAAAATCAAACCGAGTTGTAGCTGCTGAGAGAGAGAACATTTCCGATGCAAACAATGAGACAGCCTTGATGCAGCAAGATGTATATTCTGGGCCAGATACGCAGCACTTTGGATCCAAAGTCCTGAGGACGTTTTAGAGCCCACCAAACCTGTTGGCATCTCTCTAAAGATGCTGCATCTTTTCCTGGGTTCATATGGTAGCCATGTAATCATCAGTGAAGAGACATAAGGCAGCCCCACCAAGCCATTTTGCTGGAGCAGTTTGGAGCATGGCATCCTGGGATCACAGAGCTACCATGCAAATCCAGAAAAAGATGCAGCCAAGATGCTGGCAGGTACAGTGTGTCTGTTCACAACAAACCACGTTTTGGGCTTCAGATCCCTAAGTGTGGCCTTTCAATCCCCTCTTCCCATTTTTCTCAACTTTTTGCTGAAAACCTTTCTTGGTTTGATATAGAGGAAGACAGAAATCCAGAAATAATAACTTCCTTATTTTCAGGGCTGACCTTTTTCCTGCTTGTTTCTCCTAAAAAGCAAAAAGGCCCCAATGCTATTTCAGCTATTTGTAGCTCTACTTGTAACAAAAATATAAAATATTAGTTCCTTTCTACCCTATGCATACGGCTTGTTTTTATTAGTTTTGTTCTGTAAGCTGCCCAGAGTCAAGACAATGTTGGGCGGCCTATAAATTTAATCAATAAATACAGTAATCAATATTTGAAACTAAAACCAACACATGCATAACTGTCTGAATCAACAATACATTTCAATTAGTTATACAGACACACACATACAACACAAAATGTTAGAAAAAGCCACATTACACTTAACAGAGTCTATAAAATATTAGCATGACTTTATATTTGTAAAAGTTATTAGTAATTCAACATCACACATATTTTCCATTTTCACCCAAATTTCCACTGGTGGAGGAAACACACACCTAACTTTTTCCCCCACTGCTTCAACATTTCTAGAAATGTGACATTTCTAATAAAAACTGCTGTTTTAATTAGAACTGAAACCGAGTACTGAAAAAGGGTGTCAAATTAACAGTTCAGAATATTTCTTCAACTGGTATCCTGCTTTCTCTGGTACTCAGGACAAATACTTACTAGAAGTATTCCCACAAACACTCCGGCTTCAAATTTCCCTGGAAGATGATTGCAGTACACCACACTGCCAGTAGGGGTGCTGTTTTCCATTTTGAAAAAGACCCGGTCTCCAATTGTTAGTCCTGGGGATGACAAGGGATCTCCTGTTGTAAGCTGGACTCTTGTGCACTCCCGGATCCCTCCTCTTCGACGTGCTGATGGACTACCCTCAACTGATTTGTCAGGCTCAATCCGGCTGATGGGTACAAAGACGCCACAATTCTCACGGCAGGAGAAGAACTTGTGTCCTTTGAAGGAGCCATCTGTAAAACCCTTCCCGGCTGCTGAGCCCTATAAAAGAGGACAATGGCTCTTCCACAGAGGTAATCTCTTCCTCATCTCACTCTCCATCCCTCTAGCCTCTGAACAACCTTGTGGAGTAGGTTTAGCTAAGAAATCATGCCTCTCCCAAGGTCAACCACTGAATTCTGGTGGTTGAGTGGGGAAGAGAATGTGGGTTTGACCAATCTGAGCCCCACATTCTAGGCCAGTGTTTCTCAACCTTAGCAACCTGAAGATGTGTGGACCAACTCCCTGCTGGCTGGGGAATTCTGGGAGTTAAAGTCCACACATCTTAAAGTTGTTGATGTTGAGAAACATTGCTCTAAGAGATTATATGATTTTCTGAAGAAACTTCGGGTTAGTTATTCAATCTTCCCTTGCTTATAATAGCAATGCAATGGGCCCAATAGGTGAAATCTTACTGTATTCTATGTTTTTAGTGTTCAAATAATTTTCAAATGTTGGGAAAGCAATACATGTCTCCTTTCCCAAATTCTTATTTAAGACTGGTTCTCAAATAATATTCTAATCATTCATGGAAACATTTCCAGTTTTGCCATATGAAGGAGCTAAAAAATTTTTTTTTTAATGAATAGAAGAATCTTCAGTGAACAATTGAATCTAGCCTGCTTTTATAGCCAACCCCCCCCCGCCCCCCGCAATCCATAAACATACTGAAGATAGAAATATGCATAAAACAAGTACAGGTTGTCCTCAACTTACGACCATTTGTCTAGCTACCTTTTGAGGTTATGGCGGCACTGAACAATGGGACAACAGCCTGAAGTTATGGCTGTTGTAGAACCCCCGCGGTCACATGATCAAAATTCAGGCACTTGGCAGCCCGCCCGCACTTAGGAACACAAGGGTGCTTCATCTCCCCCCCCACCTATCTCCCCCCATCTATGCCCTTTTGGCCCCTTGCACTTCGCAGCCTCTGCCTCCCTAGCTGACCTTTGCTGTCTTCTTGCTTCCACTGCTGACCAAGCATGCCCAGCCTGGCTCTCTGTGAGGTAGTTGCTGGCCCCACAAGGCTTTCTTCCCAACGTTGCATATGGTGGTTTCCTGATGAGACTTGGGGAAGGTGGCCTCTCATGGCCAGCAGCTGCCTCGCGAAGGCCAGGCTGGGCATGCCTCGTCAGCAGTGGAAGCAAGAAGATGGCAGTCAGCTGCAGTGGCAGAGACCAGGGCAGTAGAGGTCTTGGAGTGCAGGGCAGTGAGGGTGGCTGGGCTGGGGCTTCGTAGGGTGGCTTTGTGCTGCACTGCTGGGCAGTGGCTTTGAGCTGTGCGGCTGGGGCTTCCTGGGTGGCTGCTTTGCGCCACGCTGTTGGCGCTTCCTGGGATGCTGTGGCTTTACACTGCGCTGCTGGGCTGGGGCAGCTGAGGCTTCCAGGGGTGCAGGGCAGCCAAAAGAGCAGAGATGGGTGGAGAATAGGCAGTTGTGGGGAGTTGAAGGGGAGGCAGTCCCTTATCTTGGAAGAACCAAGGCTTGGGGCTGGGAGGGACTAAGCCTAGAATGGCTTGGATTGGGGTGGGTCGCTGGCTAACAACCAGTGGAATTCGCTTAACAATGGCAATGGGGAGTGCTGGGATTGCTGTCACTAAGTGCTGAGATCACGTGACATTTCACTTTACCACTGCATCGCTTAGTGTTGGAAATTCCGGTTCCAACTGTGGTCATAAGACAAGGACTACCTGTGCAAAAAAAAGCTTTCACAGATACCCACAGTAAGCAAGGCAGCAGATTGCAAATGGAGGTTTCTTTTACTGTTCTCTGTAGGAATTTTAAAATCATCCTTTTGGCCAATTTTTCTTTAAGCACTTAGCACGGACTACCATATCAGCTATATTTACAGCGAAGGTACAAAAGGAGAGAGCAAGGGCTTGTTTTGACTTCCCACTCAAAATGATGTGAAACACGTATTTGGTTCCAAGCTTGGAACATTCAAAATGGCTTGGGATTTCCACTCGGATACTTTGCACAGCCCTAGTAGCAATCTGCCAGTGGTATTACTTACCACTAGCTCTACCCCAAAGATGATGCTGGTATCTTGCTTGCTTTTGTCTATGGGTCCTCGATATCGGATGATGCCTTGAACTTTCTGACCAGAAGCAGAAGTGATCTGGACCCTCACTCGGTCACCCTTCCCCAGGGCACTGAGCCTGCGCATCAATCGCTCCTGCTTGAAGAGTGCCAAGCGTTCATCTCCATTGGTCACAGCTTCCAGCAACCCAGACTGGGCTCCACTCAGTTCCCAGGCCATCAATGGTGGCACCCGGACCACCTTTTCTGCATCCAAGATCTTGGCCCAAAACGTTCCATCAGGGGAGATCCCACGTGCATCTTCCTGGCTTAGTAAGCTACCCCTGGATACCTTGACCTCTCCACCTGCTTTGGCTTCCCCTGTGAAATCTTTCACAGCAATGAAGAGTCGCCGCGGCTTCATTGGTGTTGGGTGGTGGTAATAACAAAGAAGAGGGCCCCAATCACCTGCCAGAGAAAAAAGGAAGTCAAGCAATCCAGGTATCTTACTTAGTTTGTATCTGCCTTTTAGAATGATCCTTCTCTCAGTTTCTTTTCTTAGCAACACTGAAACGCTGCCATCACAAAAGGCAAAAAAAATAGCCACAATGAACATCACAATCCACATAAAGTTAGCTGCAGCTACAGTGGGGCAAAAAAGTATTTAGTCA